GAATACATTCTATCTCTTTTAAGCACCTGGTATATCAGAACGTTAAGATTAGTGAAATAAATAAGCCCTCTAAACAGCTGCTTTTTATAATGTATTTTAAATATGTATAAAAGCATGTGAAGTGAAAATAAAGACAAAGAATGAAATAAAAAATAACTATCCAAATTAAGCAAGCACTATTAATATTTGCAAATCATTTCATGTCATATTTGTTTATCTTGCTCGTGTATTTTCATTTGAACGTGAATATTCATTTGAAATGCCTATGATTTGAATACAGTCAAAGTTACATTGTTTTCCCATATTTTCCTCCCCATACTGTAGGCTGGTGTGACATTCTGGAAAACTAGCAACTGGATTTTTTACATTAACCTAAAGTAGAAGCTGGAACCAACCTCCTTTATAAATCTCATTAGGCTCTCATTGCCTGAAGTAGGAAACTAATTCTTTCCTCAGAGATGAATGCTGTTATAAGCAAAATTCTCCACTCCAATTCCTGATAAGGTTTCCTTTCAAAGAAACACATATATATACACAGCTAATAACATTTTGTCTGTAGATGGCAATCTTTCATATCTATAGTAGTTGGTCACCATTTCCTTGGTTATTGTTTCTCTTTCTGCTATCTCATTGTTTTCTTATCTACCACCAGATACACCTGATGATTGCTTTGAGGTGTTAATCAATAACGGTGACCTGATTAAGCACTATTACCCTTCCCTCTGTTGTGATTTAACAACTTTTTTTTTTTCAGTTGCAAGCATCATAACTTAGTTGTCATGAAGGAAGGAAATAAAGAACGTCCAGTTTCTGTCCAGAACCAGTTGCAAGTGCAAAAAAAGAAAGTGCAAAGAAACCAGAATGTAACATTATAGAAACAGGTGAAGTTCCTTCTTCATTTTGCCAGTGACTGGCTTATCCTCTAAACCCTATACAAATTATATATTTGCATAGCTTCATTATCCATACATTGTTTGTTCTTTCTACAGTGCACCCCTGCCCATGCTGCTGGGCACATCCTGCTGGCTGCCACTAGTGCTGAGCTTTGGCAAGACATACCCATCAGCCTGGGAGACATGCGCTTGGCACCACAGACAGGGACGCCCCCTAGAAGGACAGATTGGGCCCCTCAGAGCTCAGCAGCAGCTAAGGGACCTGATCCTTCCTTCTAAGGAGTGCCCAGGCTAGCCTGACTGGTTGACAGGAGAGGCCTAGAGCTGGTCACCATAGCAAACCCAGCAGCCTGGCAGTGGCGGTGGGGGCTGGGGGGGGTGCCATGGTGACCACCCTCCTCCCCCCCACCCTGAAGGTGAACATTTCTTTTGTTTGCTCCTGATCCAACCTACACAGCTTAAAGAAACCCACATAGGTCTGATCGATTCCAACCTGGGCTTTTTGAATGTCTGTACCTAGCCCAAATATTTTGAAATTCCAGTGGTTTGCAAAATGTAAGCTTTTCAAAATGTAAGATTTTGAAATAACTTTTTTACTAAAACAAAAGCATGGGCTAACCTATTGTGCTAGTCAACAACAAAAATAATTGATGGAATTTTTTGTAAATTTGTTTCAATTTGGGTGACACAGATTTCTGTATGAAAATATCATATCTTATTAGAAACCCTAAATAAAAATAGATGACTACTAATTGCCTATACGTTTCATAAAGATCTGATATTTTTTCATTTTATTTTTATTATTATTATTATTATTGAGTGCACAGGTGCACTTAGCAGATCCAGTTATAAAGCAGGACTCCATTGTGTTAAGCACTGTATAAACACAAAATAAAAGAACAGTCCTATGCCAGACAAGGTCCAACTTACACACAAGACAAGAGCTAGTGGGTGGTTACAGGCAGAGGGTAGAAAAGTGGAAAAGGAAAAAATGGGGCAATATTTGATAATACAATAATCTATATTTTTAAAAATGTCTCCTCCTTTCATGAGGCAAAAATGTGAATAGCATCACCCAATTTGCCATCTCTACTCTTTTTGTAACCTGCACCATCTCCCCATGTATTCTTCCCCCCTCTAAACAAAACAGCCCATGTCTTTTGGCTATTTTAACAGTGAGAAATGTTCCTATGTCCCTCATCATTCTTCTTACCTATATGAGCCCTTTCTACTTGTGCCACATTTTCTTGAGAAATAATAACGAGCACTGGGCACATCTACATGTGCAATTAGTCATGATTAAATTTACTGCAGATTAAGCTAATGCACAGTAAGCAATTTTTGGCAGGTATCTACATGTGCAGGGACTTGGCACTAAATCTAGTGCCAAATCTAGTGCCAAGTCCCTCCAGCCCTGTCATGTGCCCCTGTGGCTACTGGGGGGAGCTCCAGGCTCCAGCCCCCACACACCACTGCTTTGCCCCAAGCATGTCCCTGCTGTGGCAGTGCCTGATGAGCTGTTTGTCCAGGCTGAGGGGTGCCCAAGCCACTACACACTGCTGCTACTGATCCTCCTGGTGCTTCAGGCAGACTTGTGCTCCTGGTTTGGGATCCTGAGCTACAATAGCATGGGGAGCAAGCCTGAGGGCCGTGCAACCTTTGCCTCTGCCTGGAAGGCTACGTGTGGCAGCACTACATGTCCCCGCCCCCTGCTGCCAAGGAGGACATTACTGCTAACATTGACACCTTCCTTGGAGTGTGAGAGGCCAGTCCTTGTTCAGCTGTGGGAACATAGGCTGCTCAATAAAGTTTTGAACTGTGCCCCACTTCTCTGTGTGCCATAAGGGAGGGAAGAAAGGGCCAGGGGAGCATGGGTGGGCCAGGCAGGGAGTGGGAGCAGGGAGTGGGGAGTTGGGCATGGACTGGGAGGGCCCTCCACAGCACAGGACTTCCTTCATGTCCAGGGCTGGCAAGGCTGGTAGCTCAGTGTGTGCCTCCCTGTCAGTGAGGGCAAGTGGCTGTGCCCAGTGTCCACAGCCTATGGTGCATGGTGAACCGGTGCCCAGCCAGGGCCACCCTCAGGGAAGTGCTGGTGTTCCTGTCCACCAGCAGTGACATTGCTGGCTGATCCTTGTGGTGGGGTCTGGGACTGTGCTGTGGGAGAGACAGCTACTGGTCAGGGCTCCCTGAGTTACCAGTGGATGCAGCAGCCAGGGAGGAGGGTGAGGCAGGGTGCTGAAGGCCCGAGGTCCCCTCGTGTCACATGAGAGGTCAGGGTGGGGTGGGAGCTCGGGCAGGCCAACCTTCATGGTGACACCCACAGGGGTGTGGCCTGGGTCCTAGGGTAGCAAAAATGCAGGTCAGCTCCCACATAAACGCCATGGACTTGTGGGCATAACCAGACTGATGATTGTGCTTGATCACAGCCATCCACTGGGCATGCAAGGACTTGACCTAAATGGGCGTGTCCACACATGCAAACATGTGTGCTTGCAACAGCTCAAATTGAAGTGGTGCAAATTTGAGCTGAGGCTTTTTGCCTCAGTGCACGTGCCCAGGCATGCACTTTGGTGTGGGGCAAATTGTGCCACTTGGAGCAAAATAACCCTGCCTGGCTCCTCCTGGATCTGTAGCCAGGGGGAGGTAAAGCCCAGGGCCAGAACCTGTGCTGTCCTCACCAGTATAAAAAGCTACCCTGTCCTGGCCCCACTATTATAAAAAGCTTCCCTGTCAAGTAGCTCAGGGCTACTCGCTCTCAGGAGCTTCTAGGGGAGGAGCCTCTGGGAGGAAGTTGGCCACGCCCCTTCCTGTCCCAGGCTGCTGCTGCTGCTGCTGTTGCTGTGGCTGGTTGCAGTAAGCTTGGTCTCAGAGCTTCTGGAGGGAAGATGGCCAGGCCCTTTCCTGCCCCTAGCTGTATTAGCTGCTGGCTTGGTCTCAGAGCTTTTGGAGTAAGTTGGCCGCACCCCTTCCTGCCTTGGGCTGCTGGTACTGCTACTGTTGCTGCCCCCCCTCAGGGAGGGGTTCATTGCACTGCACCGCACCACAGTACCACACCCCAGCTTCTGCACCCCTGTTCCGGCCTGCTGCCCAGCCCACCGCCAAGCTGTGGTTGGGGGACAGCCTGGGGAAGGATCCTGTGCTGCCTGTGGGCCCCTCCCCCACCATCACTGCTGGAGCCTAAAGGAACTTTGCCTGCCTTGGCAGGCCACCTTCAGCTTCACCTTCACTTTCACCAGAAGCACACCCTGAGTGGCTGAACTGGACGGCTCCTACCATCATTGCTGTTGCTGCCGCCACTGCTGCCATTGTTTCTACTGCTGCCCCCTCTCAGGAGGGAAGGAGATTCCCTGCTGCACCACCTGACACCACACCTGCACTGGTTTACTTCCTAATGGACTGAGTGCTCCTACCCTCCCACACAGCTACCTCACTGCATCTGATCCTGATTTGTCTTCCTGCCTACTGCTCTGCTGCTGAGCAACTAGCTGGAGGCCTCAGGGGCTTCTGGATAGATCTTCCACAAACAAAGTCCTTCCACTGCTCCAGCTAGCTTTTACACCTGCCTCAGCAGCCTTCCCTGTGTGTGTTTTTTGGTTGTTTTTTTTCCCTTGTGTGGTAAGTCCTGTGGTCCACTCCCCCTGACCTGGTGTTTCTTGTGTGACTGAGTAAGCCAGCTTGAGTCTCCCCAGCCCCTGTGTGTGTGTTCTCCCTTCCCCCATTTTCAAAGCATAGGCCTCCTGGTTTTTTTCCTGTGGAGCTGTGGCTGAGTGAGCTTCAGCCCCCTTCTTCCCTATCCCCCTTCTGCCTCACAACCCCAGCCTGCCCCTACTAGATTCACCAGCCCTGCAGGATATTTTGTTTTTCTTTGTTGTCTTCCCTGCCCTCACATTAAACAATGGCAGGACAGGAACATTCGGGTGGGGGGGGGGCAGATGCTCCCACAGATCTTCTTGCAGCCCCCACTATGGGGGTGGATCCCAGCCAAGTCCTTAAGGGGATGCATGCCCCTGCAGTCTCCACCCTGGAGGCAGAGTCCAACCAACTTCCTCCGGGGGTGAAGAAGACTGCAACCTCCTCCACCCCCCGCTGGAGGGGCAGGTGGGACTCCAGTAGGGGGCCAACAGGGCCAGGGGGTCACCCCTGGCTAGCCCCCCCCCCACCCCCAGAGGGGTTTCCAAACCCCCTTTCCCATCATTAGGGACCAAGGGCTGATCTAGGGGATAAAGAGGCCCTGGGGCCCCGGTGAGTCCTGAGGAGGAGATCCCCTTTGCCAGGACCCTGAAGCAGACTCCAGAGCCACCCTGGTGCCTGGTGGGTCTCTTCCCTTCCCCTCCCAGGAAAATGTCACCTCCAGCCTGCCCCATAGTCCCGCACCAGAGTGGGTCACAGTGGGGTCCCCTAATCAATGGGCTGATCTCACTGGGGACCCTGCACAGACCCCCCAGGGCTCCAGATCTACACCATTTTGTAAAGGAGCCCCACCCCCACCCTTACCCCCATCTTTGTCCCAGGGGGCTGCAGAGCTCTCCCAATCCCAACCAGAGTCCTGGGTCTTAGCGGACTGGGGGGGGTACAGATGGTGCCGAAGGAGCCCTCTGAACTCCAGGACCAGGAGGAGGATGCCCAAGAATTGGCAGGCTCCTTTCAGTCCCACTGGTCTCCAGGGATGAGCTATTTGCATTTCTTGACCATGACTACACCCACCAGTCTGCCAGCAAGGTACAGCTATCCTTGGACTGCTGGGGAGATCTTGACAGCGTCCTTACCACTGCAAGGGCGCTAGCAGGGGAAGGCAAGGGACCCAAAAGCTGCAATGCTTGGATCTATAGGCGGGCCCCACATTTTAATAGATGCCCTCTATACATATGTGAAGGTGTTACGCAAACTGGTGGGCTCCACACTGGGTGTTGAGATGTGCGAGGCCCCTGCTTAACCATCTACTCCACCCCCACCCCCAGCCATGAGGTCATTTAAAATCATGACCCTCAATGTCCATGGCTGCAGAAAAGGTCTCTGGAGGTGCTGGGTGCTCTCCTTCCTTCAGGAGGGAGGGTACCCCATGGTATACTTGCAGGAGCTTGGCGGGGGCCCTTAGCCGATGAAGCAAATTGGCAGCTGGAGTGGGGGGGGGGGCAGGGTCCTTTTTAGTCACCTCTCAACCACCTCATATGGGGTGGCCACCCTGTTCTCCCCAGGCCTGCAGCCAGAGGTTCTCCAGGACGTTGAGGTGGTGCCGGGCTGCCTGCTGCACCTCTGGGTCCAGGTGTGGAGGCTGGTCCTGAACCTTCTGAACTTGTACACCCCTGCAAAGGACCCAGAGTTGGCACATTTCTTCCACCAGGTGGCCACATATATCAGCACCCTCAACCCTTGAGATTGCCTGGTCCTTGGTGGGGACTTTAGCATCACCCTAAATGCACGAGACCAGTCAGGCAAGAAGTAGAACCAGGCTGCCGTGGGTGTCCTTGGGGAGATGCTGATGGACTACTCCCTAGTGGACATCTGGCG